GGCGCGTGTGCACACACACACACACACACACACACACACACGTGCCCAAGCTGCTGGGGCCAGGATTTGAACCACAGTTGACTATGTGGTATCTGACTCCCCATCTATCAAACTTCAGGGCCAACCCTCTAAATTCTTTTAATGCTAAAATACACGGGTTGCAGGATCTCAGATAACACAGAACCCAGAAAACAGGTCTTCTTATACTCTTTTCATAAACATCAAAACACACACACAATTTGCTTTTCCTAAAAATTTGAAAAGATTGCTATTAGAACTGGGAGCATTTCTTGTAGCCTTTTGGTAATGCCGCATGTCCCAATTATGACCTGGTAAGATCTTTCTTTATATCTTAAGTGAACAATGATGTGCCCTTTTGTACGTAGATTTTTAATCATATCCAGAGCCAAACAGCGCAAACCCATGGATGTGTTCAGAGCAGGAGTGCTGTGAAACTTCTCATTATTTTAGCATTTGTTTCCTCTGGTGCTAAGTTAGCCAATTTCTCTTATGTTATGAAAGCGCGTGCTTTCGGGTTCTTATTTTTTCCTCCTGTCACTTTCTGTGTGAGCTTTATGAAGACGAAGATGCCTGGGGCCTGTTCCTACATGCCCTGAGCTGTATGTAGGTCACAACTCTCGAGACAGAAATAGGACTCCATTTGGTGTTTATGTCTTTGGCAGCTGCATCACGGTCTTGTATCAAATCCAGGCCCTCGGGGGATGGAGTCTTCCTCTTCACAGATGGCACCGAGATCTGGAGACTCCGCCAGAGCTGCTCAGGGATGCTCAGGAATGGGAAGGAGCCACTCACGTAGTCTGAGCAGCGCTGCTGGTCAGCCGAGACGCCCTACGGCCCCACCAGCCGTGCCTCCTCCCAGAGGTGCTGCTCAGGGCCGTGGGCGGGGCTTGGTATGGCCTGTTCCCACCAGGACTGCAGATGTTCTCTGCTTTCTCTGAGCAGCGATTTGAAGGTGTCTCTTTACATGGATCTCACTTTAGGAGCGTGAATTCTGCTGGAGGATGTCAAAGAGAAACATGGCACTGTCCTTTGTCACACAGGGGACTGTCAGAGCGCACTAGCGTTGCACCAAATTGTACCAGGAGGGCACTTGCCTGGGACTTTAACACCCAGAGAGTCTGAGGGGTTCTAGTTAGTGCAGAATGTGGACACACGCGTGTTCAGCTCAGTGAACCAGGGGGTATTCTCCCCTCTGCTCCACCGGGAAGCCTCGTGCATGGGGCAAACCCACAGCATCTGTGTGAAGGCAGCTGCAGGGTCCGGCAAGCTGGGGCGAGTAGAGAAGTCCTAGCACAGCCAAGGGCACTGTGGATGAGCAGGAGGTGGCTGGCTGGACCTTCCTTCTCCTTTCTGTTACAGTAAACTTCACTAAATGAGCTCCATTCGTTCAGTTACTCAATGCGTACTTATCAAACATGATCATATTTTTCAGCATGTATGAAGCGTTGCACTAGGTGTGATAAAGGACATAGACGGGGACAGGGCACTCTGTCACCCCCAGGACCTTCGGTCTAGTGAGGCCCATGAGTTCTGTCCACAGACAGCACCAAGTGCCATAGGAAAGGCGCCAGGGAATGTATTGTAGGGGTTCGGAGAAAGATGCGATCACTTCTACTTGGGGTGAGCCAAGAATCTTTATAGGGAGAGAGGGAAAATGAGAAAGCAAGCCACCAGTTCCGGGACTCTAACCCGTGGTCAGACATGTGGGAGTCCAGTGCCTCAACCACCACTCCATATGACCTGTAGCAAATTAAAATAACAATAATAATTATAAATAAAATTGAATAAACAATTCAGAAAAGAATTTTAAAGCGAAGTCTTTATAGGAAGCAATCAAAAGCTGGAACCTGAAAGTTGGGGCACTTTGGTATGCTGAGACTGGGTCTGCCCAGGAGCTGGATGGTGGGAGCCAGAGTGGGATGTGGCCAGCGTCCATCTGAGAACACAGGGTGGGTAGTGTCGCTCAGGTGTGAGGAAGGGGCAGAGAGAACAGTCTCCAGGAAGCTGGAGACCTGGCAGGGTGGGGTCTGGGTGCCAGGTGAAGAGCCCGGACTTTGTTTCTCAGGAAAAGAGGAGTCGTGGAAGGCTTTGGAGCAGAGGCCTGTGTGGTTAGACCTGGCACCCGCAGTTAGGACAGGTAGAAGAAGGGGGCTGGGGCAGGCAGAGATGAGATAATGACCCAGGTGTTCCCAGGAAAGCCAAGACGGAACAGAAGCAAAGCAAGGAAGAGGAGGGCCCTCTGTGGGCAGGCGGAAAGCTGGCTGCTCTCTGTTCAAGAGGAGGAAGGACGAAAAGGTGTGGATGGGAGTGCGTTTGGGCCTCCCCGGGGCCTCCGAAGGAGTCCCAGCTCCACACCTTCTGCTGCCCTTTCCTCCCTGCCTGGAGGGGCCAGAAGCTGCCCTGGTGCCTGGGGAAGCAGGAGGTTGGCCTCGACACCAGACTAGACGTCCCCTCAGTAACTGGGATTATTGCACTTCTGTTTATCGCTCGTTCACGTTTGCTGCCTAAAGGGATGGAAGGACTTCCCGTTACTTCCCATTTGCTGTATTTGACAGCAAGAGTAACAAAGATGATGACATGTTTTAGGAAACAAGTATTTTTAAATGATCCGGTGTCTGAGTTTCTTAGTATTAACCCTAGGTCAATATCGCAGTCAAAGTTTTAAACAGGCTGTAGCAATGGGTTTTACCACCGGCTCTTCACTGTTTGTGCCCCGTTTACTATACAAGACACACCCTAAACGGCGTCCGCTTCTAGAACCCGCTGAACCGTCCCACACACATAGATCTGAGATGGGGCCCCAGATAGACATTTTGGATAGGGCTCAATGCGGTGTTAATGAGCTGTTGGCCATCACTTATATCGAATCTCTCCAGAGAAAGTGGTCATTGCCTGGCAGACTTTCATTCTCTAGTGAGTCTCAAGTTGAAATGCAAGTTCCAGGCCAGGCCCCGTAGGCCCTATAGGCCAGGCCCCCATGAGAGGGGAGCTCCCCCAGGGGGTGCCGCCTTTGAAGACCTCCTCTTCCCTTGTCGGGACGAGTAGACCTCTAGCGTAGGACAGTCCTTGCAGATCCAGGAGGATCAACGAGGCGCCACTTGCCAGATTATGGTGTCCCCAGAAAATGTTTAACTCAAAGCTTTTCAGTACTTAGAATCATAAAATCAAATTTCTCAGGAAAGCCAGAAGCCCATGAGAGGGCGCTATCCCTGCTGTCAGCACCCGCCGGACTCGCTTTTGCACGCGGGAGGCCCACCCGGGTCACACGGTCATTCTGCACTGAGTGTGCGCGCTCAGAGGGGCTTCTGCAGTCAGACTTGCACGTACGTGTGCCCACAGCAAGGCCTCTGCCCTCCTTGCCAGGTTTTCTTGGTGGTGAGCAGCTCCAAGTGTTCAGGAAGGCCCCACGTGTGCGCGAGGTGGTGGGATCTCACCCCTACAGCAGGTCCGCTCAGTCTTCGTGGCTTCCACGAAGGTTGAGAAGACATCATCACTGGCAATCCCTCTGAGGCGTGCCATTCTACTGGTTTTTGTTGTATCGTTTTGTCTCTGCAGGGGAGATGGTGTGGGAGAGATGGAGATCTTAGTCGTGCCGTGGGTGTTTGTTTCTAACTCAGGTGGTTCTCTTAGAGATGGCAGTCCGCATTTGGGGTCTCCCCTCCAGCTTCTTAGGGTTGTGGGTTTCTGCAGCCTGAAGGATCCAGAAGGGCCTTTGTGCCCAGTTCTGAGTCTGGATCTGCAGGCGTCTGGAAGGTTCTTGTCGTTGGTCTTGGCAAAGGGGACAGTATCGCATGGCCTTCAGGGTCCGACTCTCGCCATCCCCTCGATGACCTGCACCGCAGCAGGGTGCTGGTCCTCAGTACTCCCAGGCCCAGGACCCCACCCGTTCCTAGTTTTGAGCAGGGCTTCCCAGTGCTTTCTCCGCCAGCTCCTCCTCCTCGTTTGTCTCGAGCACGTCCTGGCAGCCCTTCTCTACACGCTGTGATTCTGCGAATCCACGCCTGAGATGTGCAGTGACGTGACAGACTGCTGGGGGTCGTCGCAGATCCCACGCTTCACGTCGTTCCAGCCACCCAGTTAATGCTCCCGTCTGCCTCTGGCGTCCTCTTAGTCAAGGAGCCATGCAGCAAGCCAGGCCTGGGGACTGGGACCACCCTGGCTCTGGGCACCTGGGCCTTGGGCCACGTGCCAGGGGCTGGTTCCCGGGCTGACCTGGCGAGGCCCTCCGTCTGTCCCAAGGGCACCTCGCCCTGACTCTCCCAGACACCTCAGCTTGTCAGACTGACAGTGAAGAGGTTTTCAGACTTATGAGTTGGGCATGTCCATCAATTGGTAGCTCAAATGCCTTTTGGAAAAGCACGAGATTTTTATATTCTAGCCACTGAAATCCCTTTCATCCTCTTTCAAAACGGGCCTGCAAGTTCATTTCCGTAGCTCATTAACCTCCTTTGGATAGATTACCTGCAAAATATTGAAAAATGGTTTCTTGCCTTTGAAAGTGAGTTTATGGCCCTCGGCATTCCATGCCCGCTGAAAGTCCCTGAGTTGTTTGACCTGGGTGGGAAGAGCTGGACTGACCAAGACAGCTCCAAATGCGTCTTCTTCTGTGGTGTAATTCCAGGGGCGTTGGGGAGCCCCCGGACTCCTGAGCAAAGGGCACAGGTGTATCTGTACAAGCTCTGTACGTCTTAGATTGATTATACAACCCGGGTTAGTTCCACTCCTCTGCCAGCATCTTTCCTGTGGGAGCGGAGCGCCGGCGCTATTATGGCTGGGGGGCGCGGGGCTGTTAAATTGTCCTCCGGAAAGAGCTGCAGACCTCCCCGAATGTAGGTTCTTAATGTGGGGGAAATTGTAATGGAAATCGATTTCACTCTTCCCAGTAGGCTTTTGGCTTCTTAGAAGGCAGACTGCTTACCTCATTCCTAACACTGTGTTTTCTCTCTCCCCCACCCTGTGTCCTTTCCACCTATCGGCAGCTGTCCATATCTAGCAGTGAGAATCACCCCCGCTATCCCCGTGGTTGGTGGCATCCTGTTCTTCTTCGTCATGGGGACCCTGCTTCGCACCAGCTTCAGCGACCCTGGAGTCCTGCCGCGAGCCACACCTGATGAAGCCGCCGACCTGGAAAGGCAAATAGGTAATCATAAGGCCTGCTCATCCTCTGGTCACACCCACCTGTGCCCAGCCACGATGGGGAAGGATGGGCCGAGATACGCAGGGCGGCAGGGCGTTGACAACAAGGGTAGCATGCTACATCTTCACTCACTGGGTTGGCAGGGACAGAGTAGGAGGCGGGGCGTGAGGTGGTCCAGGAAGTCTGCAGCGCCTGGAGCCCTGGTGTGCAGGAGTCCATGCGAGTGAAACCCACGCGTCCAATTCTGCTTCAATAAGGAGGCTCCATCATGAACGGTCTGCAGCTGTGGGCTGCTCTCTC